TTCAGGAGATCTATGACTTCTCTGTACTTGGGATGAACCATGGGGAGGATGCCTATGTCTTGGCTACGGACCTGGACGTTGGTGGTGTGCCTTTGTCTATGACCTCCTTACGAGATCATGGGTTCAAGTCTCCTGCGTCAGTGTGGCCTGAAGCTCTTCGAAGGCGACTTGGAGAAGCAATGAGGGACTGGCGTCTGTGCCCGTTCAAGGCGCGCATGGCTCGAGCTCTGTGTCGCGTTGCGCGGGACCCAGAGTCCATGACGGACAAGGAGGTCAAGTACTGGGAAGACCATATCAAGCGAGGTCATTTACCCTATGACCGCCGCTGTGCCACGTGCATCCATACAGCTGGCAGTGGACGTGCTCATAGGCGCGTCCTGGCGCCGTCGGCGTATACGCTCTCCTTAGACATCTCGGGTCCCTACCGGGTGGCTGGTGAGTCAGTGCAAGGTTCAGGCTTTCGCTACATCCTGGCAGGCGCCTACACCTTCCCCAAGCTTGACTGCTTCAAGGAGTGCGACTTGCCAATGGAGGGCAAGATCCCGGCCGATGACGACGGGGACCCCTTTGAGGAGGAGGCAGCTGCTGAGCCGCCAGAGGGTGACCATGACGAGCCAATAGCCGAGGTTGAAGAGGATGAAGAGCAGCGGGCAAGGAACGACAGGTTCAAGGCCTTGTTCCAAGAGATTGGGGATGACATTGATTTTCAGACCCTGCACTTTGCGGTGCCCTTGCGGACACGGACTTCGGAGGAGGTGTTGAAGGCGGTGCGCCGCATTTACCTCCTTCTTCGGAGGGATGGCTTGGCACTGAATCGTCTGCACAGTGATCGAGCTCGAGAGTTTACTTCGCCTCCAATCAGGGCATGGGCGGCCGCAAGGGACATCTTTGCAACGACCTCAGAGTCCCTTACTCCGCAGCAGAATGGGAGGGCAGAAAATGTTGTCCATTGCTTGAAGCGACGAGCAAGGACATTGCTCAGGGCAGCTTCTTTGCCTCGCTCTTCGTGGCCTGCTGCTATGACCTTTGCCTCCGAGTACCAGAGACGAGCTGCGCTTGGTGTTTTAGCCGATTCAACACCTTCGTTTGGGACGGTGGTGCATTGTCGCTCGAAAGTGTTTGGAGTT